GAATCACCATTGTTTGGTTGGGAATGGTCGAATAGACGGACTCGGACTCCAGGTCGATATTTCTGCTTGTGGGACGCAAAAAGACAAAAGTCAAGGCCATTGGGCCCATGTACCCAGTGTATTGGGGTTAGTTCTTCTTTACTCGCATGAACAAAAACAAGGCAAAGGTTGCACGCGTGCCTTGAAATCGCCGACATGATTTAAATCACTGTAGAGATAAACAAAACAAAATTACTAACAGCAATGACAGTCTGACTTCAAAGGCTCGGGCACGACGTGGCCCTCTTACGATACCCATTTTCTTGGAACAGTGGAAATGGTTAACGTGGCGTTTGTCCTTTACAGTAGCTGAGAATTTGCACCGCAGAAGGACAAGTCACGCACCACACTTTTTTCCTTGGCAGGGCAGTCTTGGCTGGCGAACTTCGGGTCACTCTGATCGTAACTTCGAATACGATAATTTTATGCGACTCGCGACGTGTCACAGATACATTCGTCATTACTGGCAGAGTTGTACATATTCGGATGCAAAAAATCTGTTCGAACTTGGCGTACAAGGGTGCCTCTGATAACAGTCAAAGGTAATTCTGATGGATGTGTTAGTGCGAGCCTATTCCTGAAAGTAAATCAGGCTTACACATTCCTGAGTCTATATGACCCACGTATCGTGGGTACAAGATAATACAATGCTACAGGAAGCTACGCGACACGTTGAAGAATATACGTGTTGGGCGGGAAAAACACGATCTATGAATGCGATAGAAGCGAAGCGTCCCTTTCATTGAAATGACGTACAAGTGTAGGGAGACCGTGACGTGGAGGGTCGTGTTCAGCGAAATGATGTCTAGTGATTTCGGTGGACGCCGTACCTGTGAGTATATGCGCGCAAATAAGCACAAAAATCAACGCATATATGTCTGCGTAGCTTCTGTTTATTGAATAAATGGTAACGAAACAGACACTGGGCACAGTGCGTAGCATCGCTGAGACCGTCAGTTACCTATCGGTGCTGAGCAGACCTGGAGAGTGGTCTTCACACGCAGCCATGAACTGCTACAGGTGCGTTATTACGAAGTGATATCGCCGATATAATGGGACAGAATCGTATCTTAATCAGTTCTGCTGGGCGCATAAATAAAAATTTTTAAAAAGGCAACACTTTTCTTTCAGTAGCTAAGAGGACAGTTCTGAGATCTGGCCTCCGGAAAATAATCTCGAAGAAAACCGATATTGAATAGTGTCCAAGCCGGCGAACGTCAGCTGTATCCGACGAATATGTGCGATAATCAAAACATGCTCCTGGAGCGTTGAAGAGATAAAAGGTCAGTGAGATAGTGCTATTTATTCACAAATATAAGATAAATCAGCACTAGATATTAAAAAACATGCATACCAATATCAGTGCTGTCGAACTCAACGTGGTTGAAGGTTAAGGTGAAGAAACGATCCCGATATGGCAATCAACGCTCGATTCTTTCCTATGATGGGTCAGCACCTGTCGGTGGCCCGAGAGCCGAAATCCTGGGCTATCCGTTAGTATAAACATTTGCGCGGTGCACAAGCAGGAATTAGCTGCACCGCACTCACGCAATGACGAGCCGATTTCTTCTTCATGAGACCTGTAAGGATATATGAAATCTTAAGGGCACTTCAATTCTGCGTTCAATGACATTCATCGCCGATGTACCCGTACAATGACGTGTTCATTCAATTGCGCCGCATTCGACGAGGGGGCCTTCCGAGATAAATGTCACTAACTGAAGATAGCTACACTATGTTTCCCTCCATTCAACGTAATATCCCCATTTGCACCGACGTCGACAGCAACTTCGTCAACGACCGCAGTGCCTGCCCTCGGTAGCTTCACTAGACCATTGGTTCCCTTTGGAGTATTGATTTCCATGAAGAACTGATTGTTCTGCAACGCCCATCTCACGCCAAACCATCCCAGCGATGTTTCAAAACCGCCTTCAGCGCCAGGAAGACCGCCATTTATGTGCGGATTCACAGACCAAGTAGCACCTCGAGGCGACGTGATGGTCAATCCCAGGATATAGAAGGTTAGCGCAGAAGTAGGTCCAGAAGACCATCCATGCGCATGCGAAGTATATGCAGCATCGTAATTATATCCTCTGTAAGATCGATATCTGAGGCTGATGTGGGTTAAATGCGAAAACCACGAAAACCACGACGTACCCAAGAGAGCCGTTGGCCGTAAATCCCTCGAGTAAGGTGCTTTGCACAGATAAATTCGTATATAACATGTACCCCCATTCCTGACGTAAAAGATCCAGCGCTCTGTTATCCTGGCCAGCTTCAAAGTGGGCTTGCAGCTATCGATAAGAACTATCGTCAGCTTTGGGATCGCTGTGTCTAAGATGCCTTTCACTCACCTCGAAGCCGCTAATAAATGGCGAGATGGTATCCGGGAGCTCCGGAGCCACTGGTCCTAGATCGTTCCAATTCCTTTCCAGTCCTTCACTCACAGAGACCTTCTGATCTTCGGAAAGAGTCAAATTATAGAGAACAGTGAACGAGTTCGCATCTTGGGGGTAAAGCGTAGTTGTCAAGTTGTCTCGATACATTCCGGCGCTTTCCACCCAAAACGCCTCGTTGTACTTTACTTTCAGTGCAGTGGCGTTTGCTCCCCAAGCTTTGGAGAGGGATTCGTCGCCCATGTAATTCGCTAGATCGGATGCTGTAATAAGAACCTACTATGATATTAGAGAGGATGTCTGGAAGGAGACACGCAACTCGCCTTGTAAAGGATCGCATTTCCCTCTGCGTTGTATCCACCTCCACCTAGACGAGCCCAATCTCGTAGGCCAGTGACGTCCATTAACCCTGTGCTGTCAACTTTGGCTTCCAAGAAAGCAACAGCACGAGTATAGTTGGTCCAGACGATACTAAGCCAATTATCATCTCCAGAATAAAGATAATAATTGTCTGCATAGACATCGTTAGCTTCAAATGTCGAGTTTTATGGAACGACACTGACGAGTTCCGATGAGAGTCCAAGCGTGATAAGTGTCGGAGCCTAGCTGGCTAAGAGGAGGACCTGATTCTGGCAATGCGCCTGTTTTAGGATTGATCGCAGCGAACATAGTAGATAACGCGTTTCTTGTGGGAATCAGATCGAACGTGGAGACGAATTGGGTGGGGACTGCAATACCCATGTCTCCAGGCCAGACCGCACTGCAGGATTATAGAGGAGTCAACGACCTGTTATATGGAGTACCGAAGTACATACCGGTCACGTTTTGCGCCTGTAAGTTTATGAGTCTCTGGAATGCAATGCAACAAACAGGGCACATTACCATCAACGATTATCGGACCTGCGACCCCAAGTGTTGCATTGTTGAACCAACCTGATCCGTGTTGAGATGGGAAAGGGAGGCTCAATGAAATAGAACATACTACCGGCTGCAGCGAATGGAACTTTTCGGCCTGTTTCAAGGGGAACGGTGTTCGTCTGTACTGTGTACGCGCCAGCGTACCATACTACAGATCGTTGATTAGTGATTATAAATCATGCGCAATGGATCATACCTTTCGTCAGGAAATCGGGATCATGGAACACAGGGTCTGAAGCATAAAAGTAGCCTGTATACGCCCTCAAATCTTTAACGTGAGGCATGAACGAAATAGCGCAAGAGACGTTGGAGATTTTGAGATCAGTCTTCGAATGGGACACGATGGTTAAATATCGGAAGCCGCCACGTAGGGAATAAGAAGGCTGGGTCCAGTATCCCTTCGGCAATGGCGCAGGAACAGTGAAAACGCCATCGTAGGTCATATTAGGTGACGGGTACGAAGAGTCATCTGAAGCGAACGGGTTGACAAACACTGGGGACTCTGTGAAGGAAAGAGATACTGAGGATGTAGCATCGGTGTTGTCAAAGTTGAGGGATATAAGCCCCCCGACCTAGGAAAGGAGTTTTGAGCTTTTAATATTCAGAGCTGAAATAAGTAGGGATTTCGTACCTCGATTCCAAAGTCCAGCGCGATCCATGACTTCGGAGACAAAGTCGCGCTTCCGATATTTCGTACCAGTTTGCTGCCGCCGGACACCGAACCTACGATCTTGTAAACGTCTTGAGGGTAGACAGTCTTGGACTCTGGCGCATAGTTAAACGTATCCCAGGGACCACCTGGGGCGACCGCGAGGACAACAGGAAGGAGAAGGAAGTAAAGCAGCATATGAATGACCGAGTGAATACCGGTGGGGCACAGTTTTAATCGCTTCGCGGAATTTCACCACCTCATCAAATGACGAAAGGACTGATCACCAGATGTTCAGAAGGCCCGCTGGATGGCATGGCTCTTCCGGATTATTTGTGATGCATAGTGGTGTCCGGTGACACACTAAGTATAGCAGGGCGTTCTGAAGATGTCGCATGAGAGTTTCCTGTCCAAAGAATGGTTTGAGTTTCGATCTAGTGAAGCACAAGTTAAGCATACTTACAGGCGTCAGGAGGAATTGATGGGCTATGGGACTGTATTGTTTTTTTGCCAGGTAAATTCATGCTCGCGAACGAACCATGGATACACAGGGCCCCCTAAACTGGATAAATCACGGCTTCTCTAACATATCTCACTGCTTTGAGGTAGCAAAGCGGATGTGCTGATGACGGTCAGTAATAAAAAGCTCGCCGGGCCGGGACAGCCGCAGCCCGCATCTAGGCTTCAGGAGGTTATTATTCATTTTCCACAAGTTCACGAAGACGTGGCAGCGATATGCAAGCCTCACGGAAATATAGAAGGACCTGATTATTAGTAGAAAGTGACAAGTGCAGGTTGGTAGCTTGAAAATTGTTCTCAGAGCAGTCCCAACCATCCAGAGATTTTGTATTAATGTAATAATACATCTTTGAAGTATCATTTTATAGATTTAAAGTGGGTCAAATGAATTAATATTGTGCGTAGAATGGTAGGGCAGCGAAGCCTTTTCTGCTCAGTCATAAGCATGTCTAGTATGCTGCCTGTCTCAAAAATATAATGCCTTTGTGGCGTAGTGGTAGCGCGTCGCACTTGTACAATGGTTCGGCTTGTCATGCGAAGGTCACTAGTTCAATCCTGGTCGGAGGCAATTACTTTTGCTGTACAGTCATCACCCGGTCCGTTGTACAGGCAAATTTCTGGGGGATTTCAAAGCCTCCCTCATTTGCCTTTCATCCAGAAAAGTATGTCATAATGTCAATGATATATTTAAGAGTGTACATTATGAGTTTGGGGTGATTCAATAATGATTTGATAGTGTGGTGAATATTTTCGATGAAAGTCCAAATTTACCGGTTACCGGGACCTCTGTACACCGGTTTCCGTGTGCCAAATTTGGGCGACCTTTTCCCGTTTTGGATGAATTTCTCACGGCTCTGGAGAGCGGTTCTGGCTTGTTTTGCCTATAGCACCACAAGGAGTAGTCTCTGGCCCATGGTTCCGCAGGAGAAGTATGTCCTTATAGTCATTAAAACAATTTCAGATACCAATTTATGCTACCCAGTACCTTCACTCTTGTCTAATCCTGTATTTGTGTTTTTCCAAAATTCATATCAGTCACTATTGATTTTTTCCTGACCGATACAAGCCTCCTTGACTTCATTTTTTTTTGTGATATGATGGCCTATATTGTACTCTGTAAGATAAAAATAAAATCGGAACCATAACACAGCAGAAAGAGATGCTATATTTAAATGTATAAAGGAATAGTGGTGTACAAAAGACCGGGTGATGACTGTATTTTGTAAGTTCAGACATTCAAAATGCTTCTAGTATGCTTTTACACTGCTGTAGGGTAGCGCACGAAACCTCCAGGCAGGTAAGTAACCGTTTGTTACTGACCCCGACCCAGGAGGGGTAGTTTTGCCAACCGTTACTTACCTCTGATGTGCCTACTCACATGACGAGCGCGCGGCAATTGCACATTTTTTTCAGGTTCTGTATCTTCGCATTTTTACTCATTTTTTGCTCATTTTCTCTCCCTCAGGAGCTGTTATACATCTACCTCCATCTTGTACAAAGAATTGTAATGCTTAGCTGACAGTCACATGATTGGTAAGTTACCTCCACAAAAGTTCCTTCCAGCGAGGGGAGGTAACTTACCGGTAAGTTACTGGTAATAAACCCAAGTGTAACGAAACCTAGATTTCGTGTGCTACCCTACACTGCTGGAAGGGGGGATGGATAACATTATCCGGCGCTCTCTCAGTGTTATGCTGAATCGGTGATCGATCATTCGATCAATCTCGGCAATAGCCGGCAACTGGGTTATCTTTACCAAGTAAGCATGATATGGGCCATAGCCAAGAACTGCGTAGAAAAAGCGGTCAGTCATCAACCACTATAAGAACATTGCTCCTGTTGGAGTATTGTTTTTATTCCCCTTATAAATCTTCAAAAAGTAACATGTAATTACTGTATAACATTCGGCATAGATAATAGATATCTGCCATGGTAGGTTTTCCCCCTCTCCACGGGTAGCATCTATGCCTGTCACTTGTCACCATACCACAGGGCATTAGCACTCTTCCGAGTCGCACTTTACCTTTGCTGGCTCGCATCTAACTGGTGTTTTACTCCCCTTACAATGTACCCGGTGTTCCTTTAGGGACTTTCAAGTTGCGTGAGTCCGGTTATCTATCCATCTATCTTCATCCCAGTTTACCCTCTGAACCTTTCGCGTGAAGACTGTTTTTCTTACCCCGTTCCCTTCGGGAGGATGAATGTCCTGGCTCCTTGAGTCGTCGGAGTAAAGAGAACCCGTTGGTCTCGGCAAGGCAGTGTATCTCGTATCTTTCCAGTGGTAAGCGCTAAAGGTTGACCCTTCTATTTATGCTTCCTTGTGGCTGAACGTTGACCGGGTCTTGAAGTTCTATATGCATATCACGCCTTTCTTACGGCATGAGTAGCTGTAGAAGTTTCGCGCATGGTTCACGAGGAATTTACTCGCGATCCTCGGAGTCATACTGATGCGTAGTATCCACCGGCCGCAAATATTATGAGAAACTTCGCTTTGTACATGAGGTCGAAGGGGAATTATATCGGCAGCAGGCGGAAGACGAATCAATGGGCCAGTCGTTTAGTAAAGAAATGTGCGTCGGATTCTGGTAAGGGAAACGGACGGCAGGGTTCACACATACTGCGGAAATTAATAGATATTTTAGGGTCACCGAGTTCCCCCATCGCTCCATCGTATAGCTATCTATAGCATATATAGTATATACATGATTAATCATTAATCATCACACCTGTGGTACAACGCACGTTCGCACCCTTTGCGCCCGCTGGTCCCGTGGTAAATACCCGAAGTAAATACGAGGGATGATGGTGGAACAACTCGGGATGGGATCTATGATTTCGGATTTGCGAGCACTTTCTGAGGGTGATGGCCAGAAAAGGCAAGACGAATTTCATCACAAAATCTCGTGATTTCGGAATTTTTGCGGAGACTATCCGAATGGGGAAGTTATGTGTAGAAAATCCGGCAACTTTCGACCCAAAGTGTCGCATCTCTTATGACGACCACGACCACACCACCTTTTTCCTTACCTTTACCACCACTACGTTCCCCAGTAGCGTCCAATGTCGTCGTCGTCGTCGTTCCGCAATCATAGGGTTCTCATCGCGTCGCTTTTCTTACCCAATACCATCGTTCTCGGTACAGATGGGTCAGGGAAGTCGACACCGGACAAGCTCGCTCCTCGGACGACGTCGAAGACCAACGGCGTCTCCTCGACTTTGAAGCCCAAGGAGATAAACATGCCAGAGGTTGTCCTGAGGCTTCAGAATGACAAGACGAAGCCAGCGGTGCTCTCAAGGGCGGCCCCATTGAAGAGTATCGTGGAGGATTTGAAGGATCGAGTGAGTAGTGTCAATCACCTCTAATTTTTGCCGGTATTTCTTTCTGTGAGGCTCGAGTCATTGGCTGAGCATTCGCTCGCATTATTCGCTGACTTCCAGATTTCATTCTTCACTTACAAACTCGCTCCTAAATGTACACTAACATACCTTTGCAGTCGCGGCATCCTACAGGTGCACCAACGTCACCAGTGAACGAGTCCAGCAATCCATTTTCCAGAGTGAACACACCTCCATCGATAGCCAAGTCCCCTAATACAGGCGAGTTGCTGTCCCCAACGAAGGGGCCGCCGCTTTCCTATAGAACTCCCAACCAACGCCGTTTACGCCGTCGCACCTCTTCTCGCTCGCTCTCTCGACGAGCAGACCAAGTTCCGTATTCCCCTGACCTTGACGGTCCAAATCCCGATTTTCATATCGAACCTAACGCCCACTGCAATGGTGGTCTCAAAAATGCCGTGGACTCAGTATCATTCAGTTCGGTCCGACCTCAGATGAGGAAGAAAGTGTGGGTCGGCACCTTGGGCGTGGAGACGGATAGTTGGAGCGACACGCTCCGTCAGCGTACGTCGACGCGTCTTCGAGCTGGAGGTTACGAAAGCGAGGTCGTCTGGGTCGAAGACGCCGTGTTTGAAGGGTGCTACGACGAGTTTTGCCACCAAGTCCTGTGGCCAGCCCTGCACTACGCCATTCCTGATGCGCCGAAGACTACGATGTTCTACGAGAGCGCCAGTTTCAAGCAGTACGTCAACGTGAACCAGAAATTTGCCGATACGATCAAGCAAGTCTGGCGGGAAGGCGACGTGGTCTGGGTGAATGACTACCATCTGATGCTCCTTCCTGCTATGCTGCGAGCGGCAGGCGTGACGGGACCTATCGGATTCTTTATGCACGTCGCCTTCCCATCGTCAGAAATCTTCCGGTGCCTGTCCGTACGGGAAAAGTTGTTGAAGGGAATGCTTGGCGCCGATCTAGTGGGATTCCAAACAGCAAATTACGCGCGCCACTTCAGGCAGACATGTTCTCGCATTCTGGCTGTCGAGGCGCTCCCAAGGGGTATTCAACTCATGGCCGAGGAAGAAGGAAGCAGCCAGGAGGGCAAAGGAAGGTTCGTCGACGTGGGAGTGTATCCCATGGGCATTGATGTTGCGCTTCTGAGGGAGAGGAGACGCGAACCAGAAGTGTCAGAGTGGATAGCCGTGCTGAAGCAGCGATACGCGGGGATGAAGCTTATTGTCGGTCGAGATAAGATGGACGAGATTCAAGGTGTCAAGCAAAAAATTCAAGCTTTCGAACTTTTTTTGCAGAAACATCCCGAGTATCAAGGCAAGGTAAGGACATCTTACTTCTTCTTCATGTTTTCTGAATCTTTTTCAGGTGGTTCTCATCCAGATTGCGATACCTTCCAATGCTCCGAGGTCACCGAACGCAGCTACGCCCAATTCTGCCCTCACAGATCAGATATTGACCACAGTATCTTCCATTAACTCTCGTTTTTCGACTCTCACCTACCAACCCATCGTGTTTTTACCGACGTCGGACGTTACGTACTCTCAGTACCTCGCTTTGCTCACCTGTGCGGACGCGTTCATTGTTACCTCGCTTCGAGAAGGGATGGCGCTTCGAACACACGAGTTTGTTGTCCTTCAGGAAGGAAAGGAACGCGGCAAAGAAGGTGTACTCGTTCTAAGCGAGTTTACCGGCAGCTGGAGCTTCAGAGGCTTTAGGAGCTGCATCGGCATTAATCCCTGGGACAAGACTGGTACAGCTAACGGTATCTACGAGGCACTTAACGACACATGCGATCTGGATATGGCTGAGGGGCGGTGCCGTAGGTGGGAAGAACTTCTTGGCTGGGTTGAAGAGCAGAGCGCGCAGAAATTTGTCACTGGCTTTCTAGGTCGCTGCTCACGCGCCTGGCAGGAACATCAGCGGGGGACGGACGGCAATAGCGGGAGCGTAGAAGTGTTGGACAAGAGTAAGATCGGACGCGTCCTCGTGCAGTGGAGGCATTGCAAGAGAAGGCTTGCTCTGGTGGATTTGGAGGGCACGTTGTGGGATCGGGAGAAGTTCAGGTCCAAGATGAAGTTCAAGAAAGGCGTAGACGTGCTGGATCCAGGACTCAGGGCAGCGATCGAGGTTCTCAGATGCCTGAACGCCGATAAGCGAAACGAGGTGTGGGTTCTCAGTGGTTTGACTGTCCAGGGTGCGCTCGGTGTCGTGGCCAAGGAG